ATTTTCAAATCTTCCAGTATCTATGACAGCGAGAAAGTCTGTGAACAACTTACAGTCTAAACACTATTGATGAATTATGTATTTACTTGCAATTTTTCATTTTTGATTTCCAATCAAACGAGCCATTTTGAATGCCAATTGCAAGAGTACTCATTTATACTCGTTGGTCTATTAATTATATTGCTATCTTTCAAATAGAAAAGTAAAACAGATGAGTGACACACGAGAGTCTGTGACCTAATAATTGTCAAACTAATAAATGCTGATTCAATAGTGACTTTTTAGTGATTAAATATGTACGGTTCTACTGATAGGTGCGAGCAGATTTTCCTTGTCTACCTCATTCAATTCCTTTTTTCCTCATTCTTTCACCCAGCCTCATTTTCTCCCCTTTAGTTTTTACTTGTTCCTTCCATTCATCATCAGTCACGCCATGTCGATTGGCTATGAAAGTGTGCTCTCTGCTCTGAAGAACTCCATTCAACATCGCATAATAAAGGCAGCAGGCTGAATTTGATGACGTAGGAACTGAAGGGCGTCAAAGTTGGGCTCAGGAAAAAGCTTTTGAAACTCTTTCAGAAGGAAAGACTCTCTAGAGTTTTTCTTCCACCGAATACACCATGGCGTTTCCCTTAAGGACAAGGAAATCCCAACCCATTGCTTGTGCAGACGTGCAGCTCCTCATCAAGCCCTGTTTCACTTTGATAAATGGGTACTGCCTGTTACAATTCTCGCCCTTCTCTATGAATACATCTATGAGACTACGGTAACAGATTCACAACGTCCTACACGCCTATTTGACAAAGGGGCTAATAGAATCAGGATAAGGAGTATGTGAAACAGGGCGATAGGGTAAATCGCTGGGTGCTGGGTCAGAGCGTTGATTATCTTTGGGTCTGTAAGCCCGGACTTCCCTTTTGAGTGGTTTCCAAAAAAATTCAGACCCCTCCCCCTGCCCTGTTTGAATGTGTCCTGGTCATACCATTGGACCCTGGCGACCTTCTGCTTATAAAAAGACTTTCATTCTCAGAAACGAGCGCAGGTGCTTGCATTGGTACCCGAAGGGTGAATTGATTAATTGGCGCTGCAGTCAGTAATCTGATGACAAAGCAATGCTTCCGAGAGAAGAATATGCGTACACTGGCTGATAGGCGCATGGAAGAATCGAAGGCTTTGATACTACGCAGATACTTCGATAATAATGATGTTTACGGAGTAAATCCACTCACAAATGTGAGCCCTGAGCTGGAAGCATTCTGAAGACGTATGTCCACTCACAACTGTGGAGCGTCCGGCCTTCAGTTCTTACAATGTACTCATTTCATTGAATTTCACTTCACCCGAGAGAATTTTCGAGCTCGAATTGAACGTTCAAAGTTCACTAAGGTGATGATACAGGCGCCCTTTACTGCGATCGGGAAAGTGCATAAGAACTAGGCCGAAGTTCTTTGGTTAGAGAAATGTGAAGTCGAAAGAACTCGGCGTAGTTCATACTCTTCTGTTCAGATGAATGATTGTCTGGGTGCCCATTTCATTAAAATTTGAAGCCAGATCGAAATCAAGATTCTGGTCAAGCATAAATTCAGTGAAATTCAGTGTGGAATTAAACAAGCAGGTGCAATTAGTTTTAAGGGAATATAACATATGTAGCACCTCAGGCGCTTATTCTGAACCTACATACCTACTGTTGGGGATGAAAGGATGAGATATAAATTCTGACGCGATCGACTCCGTGTATGGAATGCGCCCCGCATTCGGCTACCCTTCAATATCGTGGTGGCACTTGAATACGTCTAAGCCAAACACAGTGATTGCTCTGACCAACTTAAGTACCAGGCAGTGCTTTTGTCCTCCCAGACAAGTTCATTTCCCGTTAAACGACCCCGGAGGGCGGAATGATTGGTCGACTAAGGCGATTATCAAACAGGGATTCAAACCTTGGACCATGAGTATCTCGCCACCTGCCACTGCATTGCCTCCCCCCCCCCCCCTCCTGCGAGAGCTAATTGCAAAAAAGTAATTAAATGGTTCTTATACAACTCAGTATGTATAGGCAGGTAGCCTATTCTCTATGTAGGAACAACATTTGTCAGGAGAGCCTATTGAATTTCAACCTCACACTGTGGGCAATACTTTTGGCCTCTCCCTTGTTGTAAGCTCATCACTTCAATGGAAACGGCATGATTCTTGGTTAATTAACTTTTCGGTCGAATGGATCAACGGCAATAGGTAATTTTGATTCGGATTGGTAAAATTGTAAGGTAGAAGGTGTAGTTTGCCCAATTCCCTTTGTATCATTCAAAGAGGGAATTCCAGCTGACTTTTCGTTCAGAAAAGTGGAAATGCCTTCGCTCTAAGCGCAGCAGCTACTGTGCAGAATTGATGTTCGGAGTTGCTCCTCTTCTCCGGAGAGCTGAATGTTAAGGATGTTTGAGGACCGAGTGCAGAACTTGTAGTGTACCAACTCAGCACTGACTTCACCTGACCACCATGTTTCACCGTTGTGTTATCAGGGCACAAAGAGTGATGCGCCCGAACTTTCCAGTATTCCTTCCGTTCTCCAAGTGCCCAATGGTGACCTCGGTGACACGCGAGAATAATCAAAACTCATCCTCGAGCAATTTCAACCTCCTTTTCTTCCGAAATTACCCGCACAAATCACATACATATTTCTTCGGCACCAGGGAAGGTAATTGAGGCTATGATGGAGCGAGTTAAGCTATACTGACGTAAATTATGGTGCGGGCCGGTTCTCACGAATATCTCTAATTGAGAATTTATGTTCTTGCCCTTTGGATGGCCCACACTTGATGAGTGTGCTAGAAGTTTCGTGAATAAAAAATCCACCTTTTTTTGGGCAGTGGGAGTGTTATTTTCATGAATCTTTCTTCGGGTATGTGAGCTTACTTTCATGCCCTTATGAATCAAGTTTGTTGCAGTAAAGCCTTACAATCTACCCATCAAGCATCAAGCAAAGCTTTTCCTTTCCCTTTTCCTTGGGATTTCTACAGCTTTGTTGAGAGTGAGCCAAGCAATCAGCCTGAAAATGTCTAAAAGCTGAGGATAATTAGGAAAACAAGTGACCAAAATCTCATTGCTTTTAAAGCAAGCTTATGGTTAGAACAAAGATGGCTCTGAACTGTTGTGAAAACGATTCCTGATGACTGGTCTTCTCCTTTAATCGGGTGTGATCATTGCTCAACCCCTCCACAACGGATATGGTTGACTGGCCTCTATGTAGATCTTTGTTAGATCGTAGATCCACTAAGCGGTTTGGAGGCTTCTTTATGCAGATGGAATGATTTGGGGACTAACCACTAGGGTTGGCCAGCTATTCTTATGACACAACATGCGTCAGCATTCCTGACTTTCCCTTGAAGTTAATCTATAAACCGTACGGTGCATATTCTACTAGGGACAAGCAATTCAATTATGGTGTCAATTTTCAGAATAAAATTTATTAAAATCAGTTGTCTCCGAGAAAATGAGAGGTTGTGAGCACGTCGGCAATTCTATCCAGGCCACGTGCGTAATGTTTGGAGGAGAGAAGTTTTCCCATAGGAATAGTCGCGTTGAGGTGGGCGCCGAGCATCTGACTTCCATCGAATATAGTAGGAGCTTTTGAATGGTTGTGGCCCAGGCAACTACTTGTGGTGGCCAGCCGATATACAAGTTAGTGCTTTTATCCTTCCGTACGAGTCAAAAGGCAAATAATCGATCAAGGAGTTAGACTTCTTGATTGGGTTGGACAGGTACCGAACGCCCGGGTATTCGATCCCAGCACTGAGTGTCGCAGTGACACTGCCATAGTGTAAGAGTGACACATGCCACTATACCACCTCTTCAGATCTTCCTTATGTGATTTACCCAATTGAAATATGGAGCTTGACTGGATATATAAGTCTACAAATGTTCCCTATATGGAGAACGTCTGCTCTTAGCTCATGTGGAACGAAACAACCAGAATCAGGAAGTGCTGGTAGCGATTTATATGAGAAACCACTTTAAATTTCGAATTTTGCATCAAATTTATATGAGTCTTGTCCATTTCCTACCCAAAGATCTAACACAAGCAGTGCAGGACGTGGAACCTTCTCAATCTGATCTGGTCCACAACATGGTTCCAGTTCAACATAGTCTGCATTTCCAGTAAGGGGCATCACAACAATTTTTCACACACCTCTATTCCCCTTCTATTGCAAACGGTGGGCACTGAATTCGAGTCATCGCTGCCGAACATTTCCTTTCACTACAGTTCGTAAGGTGGGGATACAGGCAAGATCCTAATCTAAATCCTACTTTTTCAATGGGAGCCTCGAAATGGACCTCCAAAGTCATAAAGAGACCCAGTGATTCCTACTAAACGCTTTTTTTTCCATTTTTCAAATTTTTTTATGCGGAATTTGCCAACCTTCCACTGCAAAGTAGAAACCTACAGTACTAGCAGATTTTTCCCCTCATTCTTTCGTCATTAATTGGATGTCATCCATAGCGCAATGAATTCGTCGTCTTTTTTGCTTTGCGCTATTGTCATAGGACGGATCCATTGCGCTGTCGATGACGGGCTCAATGACCGTGATCCGGCATGAACTTTATTTTATAGACTCTTGCAAGTTTATAGCTTTTGAAGAATCATCCCGTTCCTCTTCATCCCGTCTCGAGCTCTTCCGTGAACTTTCTTTTTGTTCGGGCTTACAGTTTTTTGACAGATTTTCTCGCCTATTTCGACAGTTACGTCCGCCAGGCGAAGTGTTTCTCAATCGTGATGGATTTCGTTTTCAATCCAAACGAACGGGATTGAGTCAGGTTTTCCGCGTCCGTCGCACGTCGTTCTTCGTTCAACAGTTTTCGCTCAATAAGAAGTGGGCCAACCGCGCCTCCATCAATCCCGGACAGCGGATGATTCCGTTGAAGCTCGACCCTGTCTGATCCCAGTCATTCATTCACTGACAAATTCTCCGCGAAGACTGACCGTGCTTCTGAAACGTTCCACTGCGGCCATGCGATCATCGGCTCTTCCTATACTTCTGATGGCTATTTGTGGTGCCTTAGCTCACCGTCCCACCACCACAACAGGTAAACTGTTTTGCGGATAATGCGTAAAGACTTATGACTGGTCAATTCCCTTCGTAGAATGCGCCCCACACTCCATAAACGTTCAAAACGGCGGAGGTGTTTGGATGCGTTTGGGCCCTTAACACTGACTTGCCGGGCCAGATCGGACGAGTGCCTTTATACTCCCAGACGAGCCTGGTACCAAACTACCAACTGCTAAGGGATTAAAGAATTCGAGCAGGTATCGGTGAGGGATTTGTGTCTTGGACCGTGTGGGTAATAGTGAAGCCCTCTACATCACACCATCTCTGCTCTTTCAAAAGAGCCGACTAGAAGGAACTGTGACTGAATCCTACTCCGTTGAGCGACCACAGCATCGAACATAAGTGTTACGGTGACTCTGATAGATAGGGTTTTAGATGAAAAAACGCCTTGTTTATGCGTGCTAGCTCAAACTAAGTCCAATTTCTGATCAGGCTTGGTAGAAATATTGTTCCGCTGGAAAAGGGTACGATATTAAGAGTTCCATTTACGGCAGGGAATGTTCTCAGTCAATGGGTGGACCTGGTTAGGTCTCAAATTATGCAGTTTTTGTTTCTAGTTAGCCTAGGCTATGTCACTCGTGGCCAAACAGAGAGATTGCCAAAAAATTCTACCTTTCTTACGGCTTTTTGAGTTTTCTTTCGCTCTTCCCAATATATCCAGAAAGCTAAAGCTGCACAGCTTTCATAATAGACTCTGCAAATTTCTCTATCAAAGGCCCATCACATAAAAATGCAGATTGGAAAACTCCCTTATTACACTCCTTCAGATATTCCTGAAGACCTAGAACCGGAGCAAATAGTTTTGTGACCCATCTATTCGTCAAGAAATTTTTATATCCCAAACAAATGGGCGAAGTTCAACGATTTCATGAGGAAGTTTGTGGTTTGAACCCTTAAAAGTTGGGTTAAAACTTGATAGGAAGTCAGTTTCAATGAAATGAAAATTCTCAAGAAAAGGGCCGTACAGGAATTGTCTCCTGGCATAAAAAAGGTGTTTGGAACCCTTCGAATTCCAAGTAACAGGCATGATTTCAATGTTAGCAACACTTATGAGTTATGTGGACTCTCCAGAATTTATACCTGACTATATTCATGTCTATCTGTTTGTTTATCTGTTTTGTTTTGACAATTGTTGATGTTTATTGATAGTCCGTTGAACACACGGAGATCTATTGACATTTTGGCCCCAAACAAATCAACCCGCCTTCAATAATCCCCCATTTGTTCTCCCGTGACTCGCCTTAAACAAACATCATTTCGATGAATTTTTTGAGAGCAAATCACGAAACACCAAGTTCTCCCTGTAGAGGAGAGGGACTCCAAGGATAAGTTGGATAGGTGGAGCAGTGGGTAATAGACCATCTCTCGGTTAAACCACTCACATGATCGGTTCCCAATAGAATCAATCTTGGAACCTATTTCTTGGGTATACCTGGATCATCACGAGTGGCTACACTTCTCTGAACGTGACAATCGTCTAGAAGACTTCGTGTTAGGTACATAGCACCGTTTGTCCATCACCTTCATGTCTTTCATTAGAGCTCACGCCTATGGTGTACCGGCTTGAGCTTTTATAATGACTGGGAGAGTCTTTAGATATGTATATACTTTATTAGTATTTTTATCTATTTTGTTGGCAAAACTGTTTCTTTGAGTATAACTTCTTCCTTTACTGAGGCAACCTATGACTTGAAATTTTCGACAAATAACATTCAAGCGAGTTATTGCAGCATCGTGACCAGGTTTTCAGGTTTTCGGGGCTTTTTGAAAGCTACAAAGCTTCACGATTGAAAAACAAAGAATACGGTTCACGGGTATTGAGCTTGAGACGGTTCTGACCACCTAAAAACATATGAATCTTCTGCAAAACGAGTTCAAAGCTAGTCGGCCGGCTGGCTAAGCCTTTGTCTTTAGTTCTCCTTCTTTTGACTAATAAAAACGGTACTGGATAAAGGATCAGGTCTGAGTAGACTGAAAAGCAGTTTGATGAAGCTCATTGGAGCGATTAGATCACGTAGAAATTGTGATTTGATTAGGCCCTTTGCCTCATTCTCAAGAATTGCGGAAGAAACAAGTTCAGCAATCTAATCCGCTGGAGTAGAAGTTAGCTGAGACTGCTTCAGAAGGAGAAAAGTTAGCCGCGAGGTCATTTAGAATGAAGGGCCTTACTTCTCTATCCCATACACTAAGGAAACCTGTTGAAGTGGATCTAGAAGAAAGGCTCCCTGCAATGCAGCTCATAAAAGTACATCTGAGCATTTACACTTTGCGTGTAAACATTGCTGACATCCCAGAACGACCTCATTTAAAACACAATAATAATAGTAATAATAGTAATAGTAATATAAGAGTTGGACATGCCCTTATTCAAGCAGTAAACAGAAGAAAACCGAAGCATGGCGCATTCCAAGGCGAGATTGATGGACGGATAAACCAATAAAGAGATTCGGAGAAAGCACTGACAAGTACGCGGCTGGGTACAGCGAGTCGTTGTCGCTCGGGTCGAATCGTCTACCCATATTCAACCCTTGCTCCTTAACGAGCTCCAACCCGGACCATTCTCTTTTGTAACCCATCAAAACTATGGCAAGAATTTCGGCTAGGAGCTCTTTCTCTACGGTCAAAGCACATCTCTTTTCTAATGCTTAAAGCATGAATCAAGTAGGTCGAGGAAGATCCTCATTCTAATCAACTTACTGCGATGTAGTGAAATACCTTGGGATGGTATGCGCATACAAGTTAAAAGTGCCCTTTTATGATATTTCAATGGAATGATCCAGAAATTCCTGGTAAGAATCTGAACTGTGATGAAATTTCCGGTAGATTCCTGCCGCTCGAGTGTGGGTGCAACCCAGACATGGGAGTGGTAGACGCTAAAGACTTGGTCCTCCACCCCATTCTGATAATCCAACTAATTTTGTTGTATTTCAGAGTTACGCAGTTACATATGTGAAGCGAACAACTGCCGGCTGGAATTCGAAGGAAGTCGTGACGAATGGGTCGCCATCAACGATAATGGCTGCTATCTGGTACGCGAGAAAATCCTGTGTTCATCCCATTCCTTGACGAAAACACACTTGCGCCGATTCTCATAGGTCATTAATGAGTTATGATGATCGGCTGCGGCCCGATCGCTGTCATCGTTCTCATCTCTGGAAGCCGACCTGGATATTTTTCATAGAGGACAGTAGAAATGGGTCGTGGGCCAACCTTAGAGTGCACTCTTCTGGAATGTGAATTCAAAGCAGAGCTTAAATGATGAGATACAAAGCAATCCTTACGATAGACATATGTATATTAATATAAATCGCAAAAGTACTATTGACGACTATTCGAATCATACCATATATAACCCGTGGGTGTGTTTGTTGGTTTGTCGGTCCGTGTATGTCTGTTAGTTTGCAAGTATGTGTGTCTGTGTCTATGAAGGTCTATGTGTGTGAATGTGTGTGTGTGTGTGTGTGTGTGTGTGTGTGTGTGTGTGTGTGTGTGT